CGACACGCGATAATAGACAACGCGACATTTTGATGAAATGTCGCGTTGTCGCGCGTCGCGTGTCGCGCTTTGCTAAAAATATTGAGTATAGTATGTATTATAACGTATTTATAAACCGCGATTACGCGATATCAGACAACGCGACATTTTGATGAAATGTCGCGTTGTCGCGCGTCGCGTGTCGCGCTTTGTTAAAATATTGAGTATAGTATGTATTATAACGTATTTATAAAAACGCGACATCGCGCGATTGTGGACAACGCGACATTTTGATGAAATGTCGCGTTGTCGCGCGTCGCGTCGCGCTTTGTTTAAGTATTGAGTATAGTATGTATTATAACGTATTTATTAAAATCAGTGATTATCAGATTATAGCGACAACGCGACATTTTGATGAAATGTCGCGTTGTCGCATTGTCGCGTCACGCTTTCGTTTTCAAGGTAAAGTTTTGTTGCGCATGATCAAGAAAAATGTTTAAAGAATGCGCATGCGTGTGCCGCCATTTGTTTTATACAACAGTTGGGGTAAGTAGTTTCTCTCCTTTGTAGATGATCGTGCATACAATGGTCAAATGTTTTCTTTCACATCATTTCACAGGTTTTCAAGCATGGTTGATCGAAGCCTAGAAATACGTCAAACGCCTCCCCTGAAACACATACCCCTACCATAAATCCTCTATTGATTTCACATGCATGTAAATATTGGGCATAAACAAGTGAGATACATGCTATGTTTTTATGCAATATATTAAGGTGTTCTGTTGTCACTAGAGTTATGTGGTTTTAATGTCCGGATACTTATTTGCCAATAGTAGTGCACTTTTTATTATTATTATATAGTATTTATCTAGCGCATATATCCATGCAACTAGTGCATGCTCAAGGCGCTGGTATTTTTCTCCTCGATCATTGGATGTCAATCTCAACGGCACATCGTATTATCAATCCTCAACTCCCAGGGCAGTATACACTGTTGCTTAGCCACTAGGCGCACCGGAGTTATTGTGGCTTTCCCATCCTAAGGAGGTACCCATTCACAGCTCGGTGGACTTGGACACGTAGTCACAGTATTTTGTCCAAGTTTACTGCACATTGCTGTACCCGCATCAAGGTGTTTGCACGTGTTCATGTGGCCACCATCTGGTCATATACCAACGGATTCGTGGGTTCTTTTATGCACAGGGTTGTGTACTGTACACCAGTGGTTGTCACAACACGGAAAGATTCTGCGCACAAAGTTTTACACCTGGTCACAGGTGAGCTCTATCCTGTCACCTCAAGCTCGCTGTATCACTAGCCTAGCGCCTTTGCCAGCTCGCCCACCATGCCCCATTATGAGCTACATTAAAGGGTTACATATGGAATACTGTAACGGACATTCTCGCGATCTCGACCTTTGGAAACAAGCTAAAATGCCAAAAGTGCGAGAATGCGAGATCGCGAGAACGCGAGATTTTGGCCAAATCTCGCGTTCTCGCATTCTCGTGTTTTGGTACATAGCACTTTTGTCAAAAGTCGAGATCGCGAGAATGCGACATTTGTACATGCTGTCAAATCTCGCATCTCGCTATGTCGACTTGTCAAATATGGCCATAAAACATGAAATCGCGAGAACGCGAGAATGCGACATTGCATTTTCTCGCGATCTCCCGTTTTAGACGCTGTCGTTGCGCATGCGTAATATCATATGGTCAAGGCGCATGCGTATCTAAGTAGTGCTGTGGTCATGCTTCTTTGATGCTTTTCACTTCCCAAGTAGCATTTAGCAAAATTATGACATAGCTTGAAAAGCTATGTAATTTACTTACACGATGTGTAGGGTAGAGTATATGAGACCGTTCCCGTTGTTACAATTTCCTATGTTCTTAAAAATCCTCAACATGTAAAACTGTATTTAAGAAACGAAATTGTGAATATGAATGTCCAATAAAAGTCAAAACATGAAAGTGTCCGGAAGCTGTTAAAAATATTAACGTCAGTGAGTGATAAAATAGTGCTTGAAGTCGCATCATTTTGCAGCTACATCGTCAGTTATAGAAATAATCACCGAGCAGTGGGTTTCTCCATGATGCGATATCATATACGGCTAGCATATTCATTCAAACAAAATTCTAACAGACCAGTTTGTAGCAGTCCGCTAAAATGAACATGTCTGATGATTTTTTCTTACTCGACATTATATTCGCTAGTTTAGGCCATAAAATATTAATTAATATATTTTCTTCCGCTCCCGCCTCACTACAAAACACCCTGTCTTACACGATTATTTCTGCTTTCCAAGTTCCAAGAAATAAAAATGCATTTGTACCAATAATATTTGTGTTCCTCCTGCAGACATGATATATTGGAGTTTCAATGTGTTATTAACCACAGACTGCGGATTATGGGTGAGATATCTGTTTATTTCCATATCATACATACATACATACATACTAACATTTGTATAGCGCCGATATCCAGCTCAGTTCAGCTGCTCAAAGGCTCTTTGTTTTCCCCTCGTTCAATGGATGTCAATCCTCAACGGCACATCGTATTGTCAATCTCAACACCCTTTGGGAACATACAACTCTTTGCAGCCACTAGGCGCACCGAGTTAATGGGGCATTCCCATCCCATGAGAGGTACCCATTCACAGCTGGGTGGACTGGGACACTTTGTCCAAGTTTATTGCACGTTGCTGTACCCGCAACTGCGTGTTTGCACGTGTTCATGTGGCCACCATCTGGTCATATACCAACGGAGTCGTGGGTTCTTTTGAGTGCACAGGGTTGTGTACTGTACACTAGGGGTTGTGACAACACTGAAAGGGTCTGCACACAAAGTTAACTCCAAGGCTTTTACACCCGGTCACAGGTGGGCTCGATCCCGTCACCCTCAACCTCTGTACCAGACAATCCATTGATCAACAGCATGGGCATCGATCTGCGCAATTGGGAACCGATGACATGTGTCAACTTCAGCCAGCGGAGCCTGACAACCCGATCCCGTTAGTCGCCTCTTACTACAAGCATGGGTTACTGAAGGTTCATTCTAACCCTGACCTTCACGGGTCCACTGGGAGTAGCTCATGACTATAGCAAACCTGTTGCTAGGCTCTCGTCACACGGCATTGCTGTACCCATTGATCTTGCAACAAAACTGAACAAAGAACCACCCATCTCTAAAACGCCGTGGATTCCAAATGATATCCCGTGCTTCAAATAATCAATAAACACCCGGAAACTGGCCGACACACGATATTTAAGAAATACAGTTCGCTCTACTCACCACATAAAGTGTAATAAAGCACACTTTCGCCCTGAACTATTATAGTTAAAGCACGAGGACGCTTGCTGACATTCCACGATTGCATGATGGAATAAACATTGCGAACGTTTCCGTATCGCTGTAAAATTGTGAGTGGAACTGATTATTACGTTATCTGTCGGAAAACATAAACGTAATGTTTCCACCAGTGATGTTAGCTGAGTGAAGCAACTGCAAACCTAGACACGGAATGCAAAGGAGTAGTTTACTGTAGGAGGCTGTACGAGGCGATGACAACTCACCTGCATCGTCTCGTCGGTTACATTGTGATGTAATGCAGAAGTGTTCTATTACGAGGGGCATACGAGTACTAGAATTGCGCAGTGACGCCAATACATTGTGACGTAACGCAAACAGTGTACATTATCGTCTTATAAAGTACCGTCGACGCCTTTGATTTTCACCGAAGCATCTTAGAATTATCAACATTGTAAACACAAAAGTAAAACCAAAAGGCCCACATGGCACATCGAGTACGGTACATTGAAGTGTCCCTCAGCTGGCCGTTTCAGCTGGTTCCCATGGTAGCGCCTTTGAACTGCTCATTTGTGACGTTATTCCGACTTAACGTCACAATATGATTTTAATCACACCACCACTGCTTACTACGCTACAATACAATATTATTACATATTGTGTGCTATATTTGTACGTGTTAATACGCAGCGAATAGTCTTGCTGGGAATCGAATACTAGTACTATCTGATCATGTTTTCAACCAACCACATTAAAGAACACAGTGACTTTTGGTTTACATTTGTGCTTTCACGCATAAAATATTAGAAGCTATTTATGTTCTATCTCTGTATCATGCTCTTTCACGTAGGTTGCTGCAAATGGCTACTTTGGGTTCAAGTGGAGCTCCACCTACAAGTAGTATCCTTTTTCTCACGCACAATCAGCCGCAGTGAGATAAAGCAGACATGTTAAGCCTTAGAACTTTATAGTCGGTAGATGCGATACAACTGAGGCAGAACCATCTTATTATTTTAGTATATGTTATTATCATAAAATATGTTTTAATGGAATATAACCATGAAAAATATAAATAAATCTAATTTTCAAAATGTGTGACGCTTTTACTGATTCGCTTCAAATCACCTGGTAAGTCCACGATATCATGGTATACTTTAACTAGTATAACCTGTCTTATGTTTTCTTCTCTCGCAGTCTGCTTCACTTAACGGCTTTCAGGAGATGATTTAATTCGTCAATACTTTTTAATGGATTGAGCTATGAAGAGATACGCATAGTTCTAGATGTAAGACACAGTTTCTCCATCGGGTCTCGTATTCCTTATGAATGTCAACAAGTTAATAATATAAAGTGTAAGCAGAAATATCTGCATGTAAACATATCATGAATATTTAAAAAAGCAACGGTATTCATAAATGTTACATGAATTATTACATATGTTGTGTTACATTCCCTTTGATGTTTTTGTGCACATCTGTAGTAACAAACTGTTATGTACAATATTAGGTGAGTGTTTCAATATTGGTATCAACCAAATTGAACTATCACTTTTCCTTGTTCATATTTCATCTGCAATTGAAGTATATTTTTATTCGTTGTTTTTACATGTCTTCACATAAATTGCGTTTATGGTATTGTATGTCATGTTGTAAACATTGTTGCATATTGTAAGTAAATGACAGTTATGAAAAATAAGTATCATTCCTCCCAGTATTCAAGTCAACTGAAGCGACTGTTAAGAAGAATGAATTTACGTCGTCGTGGTGCTTCAAATATCCAAGTGGTCCGGCGAGCAGTACAGGTACATGTACCGCCAAGATTCTATTTATACATTGCATAATTATGTTCTTTACATTATGATACTATATCATCTGTTTTCACAACGTGAATGAAAACATGGTGTAAAGATCACACGCAGTCGTGTTAACAGTCCTGAAATCAGTAAGACACAGGTAATTGTATCCATGTGAGTTCCGCATTCAAGTTTCTATATGAAATATTATAAACTGAACTAATTGAGAAACAATATTTTGTATCAGTGCTGTCACATCAAGTACACCGTTTTACAGTTAGTTTTCATCGTTGCAGGAAGAACTAAATGGCAGTGGTGCTTATCTCGGATGTAGGTCAATGCGGTCACGGCTGCAGTCGTCATATGGCCTATCAGTACCAAGGTATGCAGCAAAATGTTAAAACTTGAATTTGGAATACCTTAAGTATTAACATGAATATCAGGTACATCAACTACCCGATATCGATATCATTTAATAACGATCATGTCCCTTCTACTGATTTTCCCACATGAACTTGCGATAGGTAATGAAACCAGTTAAACTGCTCCCTCATCTGGTTTATACTAATATTTAAATCTATGCAAAACACTTACTACACAACACTGCATCACAAGGGGTATTATTGATAATCACCATGAATTTATATTACAAAATCATAGCATAATGTCTTTATAGGAATAAGTGAATATGGCACTCTCTAGGGAAGGTTATGAAAAAAAAAAATGGATGTTTTATAATAAAATATCATGCTTATGCATTGATCTTTTCGGGGAGGTTTGTGAAGAAACTGTACAAACACATGAAGAGGGTCAACCGCAAAATTGAATGGCATTTAGACTGGGTCATTATTTTCATTTCATTAGTGCATCAAAAACCTTTCACCTCGATCAACTAGTGCTGTATACTTGACTTGATATTTGGCGAATATATCTTGTGTATGAAATCCTAATGTTACTTTATATTGTATTTGGGGTGTTGGTAGCTTAGTGGTTTAAGCGTTCGCTGATGGTCCGTGTTGAATTCCTCCACATGGGTGCAGTGCTGAAGTACTGAAATAATATGTATAAAAAAATATTGAAAGTTTACAAATTAAAGAAATGTCTTAGAAGAGTTTCCTATTCCGAGGAGTGAGAGAGGAGTGAGGAGTGAGTTTGGCTTTACGTCGCTTTTAGCAATATTCGAGCAATATCACGGCGAGGTACACATGGGCTTCACACATTGTACACGTAGGATTCGAACTTGGGTCTTCGGCGTGACGAGCGGAAGCTTTAACCACTAGGCTACCCCACCGTCCCTTTCTAGTCCTAACTTATGGATAATCCAAAGTAATCTGACTTTTAAGATTCACTCATAAGTGGAATAATATGGCTGCAACACAAATCGTGAAAATACTGTTTCTGCTGGTCGATTTCTTGACCCATTACCAGAAAACTGTAGAAAACAAACTTGTAAACTTGGAATCCAGTTTGGCTACCAGTCAACAAAGTCGGAGAACACCTAAAACTGTTTGGGGCATATGAAGCTGCTGAACTTGCCAAATATCACGGGACCATTATCAAATTATATCGGTCACGAGGTATGGACACTCTGCGAAAGGCCCCTTTAGCCATTCTGGTTGGGAGTCGTAATCAAAAGAAACAGATATAAAAGAAAGGGTCCGATCTGTCACGAGCTGTATCTCCCTTTGTATTAGTCTCAACAGTGTTTGGTATTGCGCGTACCAAGGTTGTCTTTCTCCCAACACTCAAGTGTTATGAATACTTAGCATTACACCACTGCTCCATGCTATATTTTGCGGTATCACGTGCCCGCACTTTTAGCTTTTTAGAACAAAAGCGCTTATGCACGGCCAGGGTATCAAAGCCTCCACCGTTCACCCTCCTACATCACGGAGGCGGTAAAGATGTGTTGGTTATATTATACATGAGGTGGAAATTGTTCTTTATATAAACATAACTTTCTCCCAAACCTTTAAATCTTTAAATAAACTTTCAGAGATACAGTCCTCCAGCTTCAGCGTGAGTTAGACCCAGAAGGTGTGGAGATGAGATCCGCCATCGACTATCAAGGCGTGTCTACACTAACAAAGGACCCAATTATCTCGTCCATATCGACGGCTATGATAAATTAAAACCATTTGGTTTTGCAATTCAGGGGGCCATATGCGGGTAAAGAAACTCCGTTACCTAAATCAATGCTTTCTATTCAAGTCCATACTAGAAGAGTAGATCCATTGGAGATCATTGTCATGTAGTTGTCGTTTTGAGAATACTCCAATAGTCCTTTCCTAAACCGCAAGCCGCACGCAAAAGAAACGCATACTTTGGCGGTTAATCTCTCAGCATTATATTCGTTGAGGGTTTTTTCAGATTCTCCAGGAGAATATTGTGGCTGGAAGTGTCTAACACGAACAACAATCCATACGTTGTTGCCTCTTACTTCTGGAATTATATTGAAACGGTGCAAGGTAAGTATTCTTTATAAGCATCAGTAATTGTGCAGAATATATGGCAACATCAGATCACATAAATCATTTGTTATAGATAGGTTAGTTACAGTACAACCCGAAATTATTGAGAATTTAAAGATTGTTATTTTAATATTTTTCACTCATTACTCGCGTATTAAATGTGAATATTAGCAGAACATAACCCAGATTTAAAAACAGGTGAACAGTTAGTATTTTGTCAAATCACCATGGGCAGCAATGCAGGCTTGAATGCAGCAGGGCATACTACTGATCAAAGAAGTTAGAAAGTCGTGGTCCATGATGTCCCAATATCGGACCACCTCTGCTTTCATTTCAGCAACATTTGTCAGATTTGTCTTATTGACACTTTCCTTCCATAATTCCCCAAACATTTTCTATTGATTTTGGGGTCAGGGCTCTAGCTTGGTCAATCTAATAATGTCAAATTTGGGGTCCGAAACCAGGCCTGTGAATGCTTTGAACGAAGTTTTGGGTCGTTGTCCTGCTGGAAAATCCAAACATTTCCATAGAACACGTGAGCAGATGGAAGTAAATGTCCCTCGAGAATATCTTATCTGTGTACAGCCTACTGTTCATATTCCCTTCAAATGCACAGAGAGGCGTTGCCCCTAACAAGGATATGCCATGCCCCACACGTTAAATGTGAAACTGAGGGCTTCCTTTGGCTGCTCAGGACCAGTCACTTCCCACTCGCAATCGCCTAAATGTGATTCTTAAAGAAAATATCAATATCAAATGTCGACTTTGCAATGAATTCACGTAGACTGTCCAACACCTTGTCAGTGGATGCCCTTCCTTGGCACAAACATCATATCTTAAACGACATGATGGCATGGCTCGTTGCTTTTACTACCGTCTCCGACATGCCTGTGGCTTTGACTCCGAGGTCCATCCATGGTACGACACTGAACATGTCCAGGGCGTCATGGAAAATGATGCTTCTCAAACTTCTCTGAACAGGCCCATATACAGCCTTGGAGGAGAATTCCAGCCAACAAACCTGATCTGGTCCTTTTGATAAAGCCAATGAATTTATTTATATCATTGAATTTTCCGTCCCTTTGACACCAATGTGATTAACAGGATTCTCGAAAAGTATACTAAGGCATGCGGACCCTGCCTTTGAAATGTCTCGCTTGCATCCCAAGTACACTCGTCGCCAGGCTCTCCATTGTTCTCGGTGCCCTTGGTTTGGTACCTCCTGATCTCTTGGCGCAGATCAGAGAGTGCCCGGGTTCTCCACTCGAGGCTGGGAGTACAGCCCTTCTGACACTCTGGGTAATGCAGAAGGCTGCAGTGTTGGGGAGCCTTTATATTCTCCGGAAAGTTCTTGTGGGTCTGACTAGGCAGCGTTTCCTGAAGTCCCATCCGCTGTCTGGGCTGCGTAGAGGGGGCGAGGGCCCTGAGTGATGATGATGAGCCTTACCAGCCTGAATGTGCCAGGATCACCCGAACCCTCTCTGTTGCATATTATCTTTAATCTGTAAAACATAATAATAATAGGTAACACTATATCTGAGGTATCATGTAGGTGTCCCACGATGTATCAGAATGGACGCTGGGACTGAAAACGGTGTTATAGAGGACATGCAGAAGGCATTCAGATGGTACCTACACAGATGAAATGGCAGGGAAAGTTGTGTCATAATTGCAAGTTCTAATTCAAACCAAGTAAGAAAACCATGTCAAAACAATTTCACAACATTCACCATTTGTGAAACATGAATCAGTTATGCTCAAAACACACTTTTCGTTCATGTGTTCCAAACATGCATAATTCAAAACCTCCTGTATTAATTAGTCCACAGAACGTACAAGACAGTGAAGTGCTGGAGCTAAAACATTTACATGACTGTTTCACCGAAGATCAATCCAATCATACCCTGCTGTACCAGTGGCTATCCACGTTCACACCACTTCCATTAAGAGTGAGGAGTGAGTTTAGTTTTATTGCCGCTTTTAGCAATATTTCAGCGATATCACGGCGGGGACACCCAGGAATAGGCTTCAAATATTGTAAACTACATGGGGAATCGAACCAGGGTCTCGGTGTGACGAGCGAACGCTATAACCACTAGGGAACTGTACCGCCCGAACTTCATTAAGAAGTCATGCATGCTTGTCGTGTTTGGCGACTAACGGAGTCGGGTGTCAGACTCGCTCCGTTACTTCATGTTTGTCATCGTATCCCAATTGGGTATTGATGCCCATTGTGTCAAGCACTGGATTGTCTGGTCCAGAATTGATTATTTACACACCAATGTCATATAGATGGAATATTGCTGAGAGTGCAGAGTTAAACAACAAACAAATAAACAAACAAAGAAACGTTAAGACGTTATTGGCAGTCAGTGCGGTGGATGTCATAACTCCGTTTCTAGGTGTAACCATGCTGCCAAGCGACGTCATATTAATTAAAGCGAGCGGAGTGAGTTGAGTTTTACGCCGCATTCAGCAATATTCCAGCTATATGGCGCCGGTCTGTAAATAATCGAGTCTGACCAGATAATCCAGTGATTAACAGCATGAGCATCGTTCTGCGCAATTGGGAACCGATGACATGTGTCAACCAAGTCAGCGAGCCTGACCACCTGATCCCGTTAGTCGCCTTCACGACATGCATAGTCGCCTTTTATAGCAAGGATGGCTTGCTGAAGGGCTATTCTACCCCGGACCTTCACGGGTCTATTAATTAAAGTAAATTCTTCTGAATATCTTCGTTAGAGTCTCTGAAATGACATAAACAAACCGTTTAAGGTACAAGCCTGAAGTACTGATAACTACCTTTACTCATTACAGAGAATAGAAAGATGGTGGAGATCCATGAGGGAAGGTGGCATTGCTTCTGATAGACTTATTCAAAGATTTTACAAAACACAAATGCAATACATTTTTCTGATGAATTTGAAAGGTATGTACAAAGCATGCTAACGTAAATCATACAACATCATGTATTCACTCCAAGAAATCCTTTGGAATTAATTCGAACCCAGTGCGCACGAGTCATTCACTGGATTCCCGCCATTATTACACTAAGCGCGTATCTAGTGATATTTAGGTAAATAACAATGTTTTCAAGCTGATTAGTATGACATAGATATGAAGACGTAAGTATGAATCTAGGGAGTGTTTAGCCACTTTACTTTTGTAAAAATCTGTTTATGTTCATGGTTGAAGCTGACACACCGTGATATAACTGGAATAATTGTTTGGAAACAGGGCCTAAAGTTGAAGGCCATTACCCGAGACCAGTGACGTAGCTACTATATTACAAAAATAAGCCCGGGCTTACATACATGATAGTAGTTGTTAATAAGGTTGGACAAGTCCTGAATATTATCTAAATATAAAGCTTTGCAACCTATCGGGCTTCATAATGAAATAAATCTCTGGCTTGCTTTCATTTTGGCAGTGAACAACGTTTTTATCTCTACCGAACACTCTTAATGGTTATTTTGAACTGTTAGAAGCATCGGGCATCGGATCATAGCATGAAGCTTTCAGACAAGAAAACAAATTTATAGTTATCTCCCCTTTGATCGATTTGCATTCGCAAAAACATCGGTAATTTCCGCACAATATTCATACGTGATTCAATTCTATTCGAGAGAAAGAATTACTACTACGAAGTACCTCAGATGAGTTCGGCATTCTCAGCAGGGTACATAGAAAAATGCGTACCCCTTGTAAGCGGGGTACATTTTATGTGTGGATGCAAGATATATATAGTTTTTAGAACAACAGAGAACTTTCTATAGCAACATCACGCTATATTTTCTGCCTCATAATGAGTTGTATCATCGTCGCTATAATAGTTATGCGTGAAGAACGAAACATTGCAAGGCTTGCTCAGGTTTTGTTGTTGTTTCAACTTTGTAGCTTAGATGCAATACGTTTTATGCCTGTCATACTTGCAAGTGAGGTTTTACTGATGTAATCAAACACGTTTGTGCAAAGAAGCTTTGTTTTAGGGATAATAGAGTTCGCAACTTTGACATGGTAGAATGGATATAAACACAAAGTGTGGTTGATCCTTATAGATCAGTGAGAATTAAACTATCCATAACAATGCCCTGTACCTTAGTTCCACATACAAACATTTTATTGTATTGATTCTGTTTTGCAAGGATCGGATCCTTCCGATACAGCTGTATGGATGTGGGGATACAAGCTGATCTTTAAATAGAATAAGGGACGAGTGGAATACACATTTGCCGAGTAAGGCGTGTAACCAGTCAGCTGAATGGGAGGCCAGATTTGATGTACAGTATACCGGAAATGTTTGGTACGTTTGTGGAGAGGTTGGGGGCGATACTGTGGGTTGAAGGTCACAACACAATACATCAACTTGTAAACTTAAATGTTGTACTTGTAATGCAGGGTGTACATCAACCATTTAAACATTGACCTTGAAGTGTTTTATATCCATTTTTTAAGGCTATCGGGAAATATGATTAATATGATGCAACATTTTTATTGTGCATTTCTGACATCCAAAGTCGCTAAACTCTGTTAGCGAGATGTAGATTACGAAATTGAGGAAGTATTACCATAATAG